AAATAGAACTATCTGCATTATCTATGCAGCATGGGGTTTTTATTATTTTTACCTAAAGACGTCTCTTTTTGGTAATGACAAACGTGTTTTTTAAAAAAAAAAAAAAACCTGGTTTTTCTCAATACACCTTTAAAGGTTTTTAAATTGTTTCAGATCTGGTCAAGTTGAGATTTTTAAGAACCTCACTTTTAATTTGTAATAAAAAGTTTACAACTTGATTTTTTCAAAAAAATCAACAAACGGCAAGCACCCGTTAATAAAGGTCTTAAATAATTGTCTTTGTGTATATTTCTGTCTTGTCTTAATTTTAGTTTGTAAGTCCTTAGGTAGCCATAGGACCCTTAGCTTAAACCTAGCTGCAGATAGATGGTACTCACTGGATTACTTGGAAATTTCCTTAAAATGTGTAATTCTTTAAGTGACATACCTGTGGGCTCCTACTAAACATCAGAAAACATTTACTATGATAGAAAAGGCCATTTTCCTTTTCATAAGTTGTTTTTACTGAGGGACAGTGGTAAAGGGGAGAGGGCATGCTCTAGCATGCACTAATTGGATTCTAATCCCTGCAAGCCACTTACTTCTGTCCTTGTGGAAGAGTTACTTCAGCCTGCCACAGAGCCTGGTTGTGCTTAGTAAACAGGCTCACTCTGATAACAGATGTAATACATATAGGAAGACTTCTGCTAAAGAATATGGAGGTTGGTGAAAATAATTTAGTGGTCTCAACTCCCTTCTAACCTAAACCTGTTCTGGTTATTCTTTTTTTAAAGATTTTATTTTTTGACAGAGACAGCGAGAGAGGGAACACAAGCAGGGGGAGTGGGAGAGGGAGAAGCAGGCTTCAGCCGAGCAGGGAGCGCGATGGGCTGGATCCCAGGACCCTGGGATCAAGACCTGAGCCGAAGGCAGACGCTTAACGACTGAGCCACCCAGGAGCCCCTGTTCTAGTTATTTTTATACAATGTCTTGCTAGGTGTTCATTTGGGATCATCCTGGTCAGTTTTTTGGGCCCAGGGTGAAAAGTTGCTGGGGATTTAGAGGATACTTCCAAGAGTCTTGCAGTTCTGTGTAAATCCAGTTGGTGGTGCCCCTTTCCAGAACGTGCTCAGAATTCACAACCAAGATTGCATTGCGCTGGTATATAAAGTATATTTTTTATAATTACATACCTAGGATATGTATGTATCATGGAAATAACAATATTGGTTAAATATCCACTACAGGTAGTCCTTTTCAAAATTTTGCATTATACCATATCACTTTTCTTTTTAGGAAAGACGACATTGCTTTTGCTAACCAAGAAATCTGACAAGAATTTTCACTTTTATGAAAATAGCATTTGGTGTTTGTTTTGCTGCAGTGAACTATATACAGAGGGCAATGCACTGAGCAGCAAGAGTGGGGCCACCGAGCTCCTTCCCTGAGAAATAACGCTCATCAAGGCGCCATAGTTTGGAACTGTGTGTAAGCATCTATGCTCTTTTTAAATTCAAGTACAGTGTAGTATTGGTTTCAGGAGTAGAATTCAGCGATTCATCGTGTAATACCCAGTGCTCATCCCAACAAGTACCCTCCTCAATGCGCATCACCCATTTAGCCCACTCCCCTCCAGCAACCCTCAGTTCTCTTAAGAGTCTCTTAACGGTGGTTTGCCTCCCGCTCTGTTTTTATCTTATTTTTCTTTCCCTGTGTTCATCTACTTTGTTTCTTAAATTCCATACATGCAAGACATCATATTTGTCTTTCTCTAACTTACTTTGCTTAGCATAATACATTGTAGTTCCATCCATGTTACAAATGGCAAGGTTTCATTCTTTTTGATGGCTAAGTAGTATTCCATTATATATACATTCCATTTTATATATATATAGACACGCACCACATCTTCATTAATGTGCACATTTGGGCTCTTTTCCATAATTTGGCTGTTGATACGCTGGTATAAACATTGGGGTGCATGTACCCCTTTGGCATTTTTTTATTCTTTGGATAAGCAAAAAATATATAACATTTCATGAATTTGCTTGTCATTCTCGGGCAGCAGCCATGCTAATTTCTCTTATTTCAATTTTAGTATATGTGCTGTTGAAGCAAGCACTCTATTTTGTACATCCATTAGCAAAATATACCCCAAAGTATCAGAAAAGCCTAAGAGACTTTTTTATTTCTGAGAACACTTAAGTCTTTCCATATAAGCTAATGGTAATTGCTTCTTCACTTTACACTCACTATTCAGCTTACAGAGGGTTCCATAGGAATGCAGTGCTTTCAGATAGGGGAGACCTGTAAAAATGATTTCGAAAACCACAGCAAGGAAGAAAGTTGTCTTGTGGTACAGTCTTGATGCCAGTGTTGCAAACAAAACTACCTATGCATTTTTCATGTGTCTTGTGTTGCCCAGCACTTTATGAATGCCTTCACTATGTGTGAAGATTAGATAGCCTGAGTCTCTAAGGCAACCCAGAGAAGCATTCTTTCTGCAGCCAGGGTGCAGGGTGAGAACCTGGCCTTGCAGTCACATGGTGCAAGCATGAGACCTGGGAGAGAAGTCAACACTTTTCTACAGGGGGGAGTGGGGGCAGTGTTGAGCCAAAACAGCAGCAATGGTTTCCTCATCTGCTAACTGCTTTAGTTTTTGACACTTACCTTTGAGCCGGTGCTCCAGCCTTAATTAAAATATCTCATCCCTGGGGCGCCTGGGTGGCTCAGATGGTTAAGCGTCTGCCTTCGGCTCAGGGCATGATCCCGGGGTCCTGGGATCGAGTCCCGCATCGGGCTCCCTGCTAGGCGGGGAGCCTGCTTCTCCCTCTGCCTCTCTCTCTCTCTCTGACTCTCATGAATAAATAAATAAAACATTTAAAAAAGAAAAAATCTCATCCCTTTATAAGAATATGTGGCTGTAGCAGAGTAAGCACAGGAGAGTGATAAGAAATTAGGTATCCTATATCGGGCATGTGGTGTGTTCTGTTTTATTCAAAATGAACAAGGTGAGGATGCTTTTCGTGGTTTCTGTTAGAAATACTGTACTAAACGCCTAGGCAGTGCATGGAGGTTAACATATGTAAAGATTGGAAAGGAAACTGGCAGGCAGCATGGATGATACTGGTAACAAACTTGCAGTCAGTTTAAGGATGGATGATGTGTTAGTAAATGGCTAAAACCTATTTGTGTATAATAGCTAGTAAAAAAATTTTATCCGTGGTAGTATCAAGGAAATATATTTAGAACTATACCATTTTGAGGGCTCATGGCAGGCTCACTTGGTACAATATGGAACTCTTGATCTCAGGGTTGTGAGTTTGAGCCCCAGGTAAGGTGTAGAGATTATAATAAAAGTTTTTTTTAAAGCTTATTTGAGAGAGCATGAGCAGGGAGAGAGGGAGAGGGACCAGCAGACTCCCCACTGAGCACAGAGCCCGACCTGGGGCTACATACCAGGACCCCTGAGATCATGACAAGGACAGTCGCTTAACAGAGCCACCCAGGTGCCCCATTTAATAACAAAATCATGTGTGTGTGTGTGTGTGTATATATACATATACACACCATTTTCAAAATCTGGGCAGAAGCAAAACTATTGAAAGGTATTAAAAGAAAATGGAGGTTTTCATGTTAATGGATATTGAGGCTTGTCAATTCATCTATTCAAATTAAGTTCAATAAAAAATTGAAAAGTTTTGGGTTTTGTTTTTGGGGTTTTTTGTTTTGTTTTTGATGAATCTTAGAAAAGGGAGAAGAGATGTTAGAAGTTTGATGAAAGAAAAATGTAGGGGCGTCTGGCTAGCTTAGTGGAGCGTGCGACTCGATCTTGGGTTGGGAGTTTGAGCCCCACGTTGGGTATAGAGAGTACTTAAAAAAGAAATGTAAAATAGTTGTCTTGGAGAATGGGAAAACAAATGTACCAGGGAAATAAAATTGCCAGGAAGTAGAGCATTGGATTTAACCAGGACTTCAGCGGCTGAATTCAACAGAAGAAAAGTGCAAAGGTATTAAAAGTGGGCTCAGGGGCGCCTGGGTGGCTCAGTCGTTAAGCGTCTGCCTTCGGCTCAGGTCGTGATCCCAGTGTCCTGGGATCGAGCCCCACATCGGGCCCCCTGCTCCGCGGGGAAGCCTGCTTCTCCCTCTCCTACTCCACCTGCTTGTGTTCCCTCTCTCACTATGTCTCTCTCTGTCAAATAAATAAAATCTTTAAAAATAAATAAAGTGGGCGCAAAGTTACCGTTAACAGTAATGTTCCCAGCATCCTCTCCCCCTGTCCCCACCCAGAGATGGATCCTGATCAGCCAAAGCCAGTACGAGCGTAACATTCTCTGCTGAGTGGAGTTGGTGCGTTACACATTTACTTGGAGTAGAAGTATTGATTTAAGGGGGCTAGAAGAAGGTGAAGTGTGGTGCACCTAGACATGCTTAACCTTGAGATGTGCAGTGACTGGTAATGACAAAGTTTTTGGGTGATGGTCATGTGAGTGGAAGATGGGAGAAGGAAGAAAACATTGGAAGTGAAAATGTCAAAAACAGACCATGCTGTTCAAAGGATTTCTGTGTGTTAAAATTGCTGCAAGTGATGGTAGAAGTAGTGGGCATGAGAAGCTGGTGCTGGTGATTCTGGAGTTAAAAATCTTCAAGAAAGGCTGCTTAGATAATGGATTTAGTCTAAAAGCATGGGCTTCAAAGAAGGTTGAGCTTTTTTTTTTAAAAGACTTTATTTATTTGACAGCAAGAGAGGGAACACAAGCAGGGGGAGTGGGAGAGGGAGAAGCAGCCTTCCCGCGGAGCAAGGAGCCCGATGCGGGGCTCGATCCCAGGACCCTGGGATCATGACCTGAGCTGAAGGCAGACGCTTAACGACCGAGCCACGCAGGCGCCCTGGAAGGTTGAGCTTTTGAGGGCTTATGAAGGAGGAAAATGGTTTAGAAGTGGCAGTAGTGTGATCTAGAGGAAACTTAGACCACCACCAGGAACCCTGCTGCTTCTGGTGTTAGGGAAGAAAAGCCTCTGAAAGGGCTCCCAGGCAAGTCTGTCCTAGAGGCCGAGTAAGAAAGTGAATGCAAATGTTCGCAGAAGAGGCTGGGGACAGAGTTCCAGATGGCACAGTGGAAGGTTTGGGCAGGGAGCAAACATGGGTCAGATTTGTGGAGTTGGAGAGAGCGAATTGCTGACCGGGGGGAGCTTGAACATCTGGTAGGGACAGTTTAACCAGAAAGTGTCACACAGGACAGGCTTAGTGCTGAGGTTCTGCTAGTGGAAGGGTTAATCTGACACTTAGAGGGGTTAGGTTGACTTGCGGCTGGGGAAAGAGCAATCAGATTAGGAACTCAGCCTCTCCCTTCTCTGAGTGGTACTACAGGTAGAGGAGGGCTTGTTTATATACCTTCAGTCTGGCCACCTGTTTATAAAGCTACAAATAATTAAAGTGAGTAGACTGTTAACTTGCACCATATTCACATCTTTTTTTTTTTTAAGATTTTATTTATTTGAGGGGCACCTGGGGGGCTCAGTCATTAAGCGTCTGCCTTCGGCTCAGGTCATGGTCCCAGGGTCCTGGGATGGAGCCCTGCATCGGGCTCCCTGCTCGGCAGGAAGCTTGCTTCTCCCTCTCCCGCTCCCCCTGCTTGTGTTTCCTCTCTCACTGTGTTTCTGTCAAATAAATAAAATCTTAAAAAAAAAATTTTTTTTTTGAAAGAGAGAGCATGAGAGGGGGGAGGGTCAGAGGGAGAAGCAGACTCCCAGCTGAGCAGGGAGCCCGATGCGGGACTCGATCCCAGGACTCCAGGATCATTACCTGTGCCGAAGGCAGTCAACTAACCAACTGAGCCATCCAGGTGATGTTTTAGCACCTCTTCTAGGCTTAGGCAGCTAGCTCTACCACCCTCCTGCGCTTTAATTCCTCTGTGCTGAGGAGCTGATAGGGAACCTGGATTATCTTTAAGTAAAATGATTTTCATTTTAGAAATAATACTCGGGGGGGGGGGGCGGGGAACCAGTTTGACCAGAAAAGTAGTGACCAATGTGGACACTGTTGCAGAAGTCCAGTTAAATGATGAAACCTGTATCCTAGATCTGGCAGTTGGGAAGAAGGTCAAATTTGAGATATTTTCAGGAAGGGAGCTGACTGAGCTATGTGACTACCTGGATGTGGGGATGAGGAAGAGGAGAAAATCCAGCATGATTGCAGGACACTGACGCAGGTGGTGCCATTTGCTGGAATAGAGAATGCACAAAGGGATGGGGTTTTTTCAGTTTGAAATGTCTGGTGTTTGAGGTGCCTATGGGGAATCTATTTGGGAAGCAGATTTGGAACTAAGGAGTGAGGTGTAAGCTGAGGTGAATGCTTGACACTCAGGTGGCTTTTTGAAAGCTGTAGTCATGGATGAAATCCTATCAGTCAAGGAGCGTCACTTTTGGAACAAGACCAAGGATGTAAAAGTGATGGCCGGAAAGAGATGTAAAAAGAAAGGGAGGGCATCACAATCCTAGAGCACAAAATAGGAAATTATTCATTTGGCATCAAAACCAAGAAGTCCAAGAAGGTTAAGGTGGGCAAGTGTCCACTGGGCTCAGCAACAAGGAGACTACTAGCAAGAGCAGCAGTGGAAACGGTGGGTGGACCCCAGGCTGCAGCAGAAGCAGGTTGAAGGGCTGATGCTCCCACAGCCTCCCATCCCAGTAACAGCCAGCCCAGCCTTCTAGGTCCCAGCCACAGCCCTGAGAGTCCATCCTGACTTCATCTTTTTTTCTCACACTCCACATCCAATGAGTCTACAAATCCTGTTGATTCTGCCTTTGAAACAGAGCCTGACCACTTCTCACCACCTCCCCCAGCATGGGTCTAGGCCTCCGCATCTCACCTGGATTATCAGTCTCCTAGATGAACTCCCTGCTACCCTACTTTCCACCCTCCATCTCTCTGCTGTAGTCAGTTTTCAATATAGCAGCCAGGGTCACTTAAGCAGAAGCCTCCAGAGGCTTCCAGTCTCGCTGGAGCAGAAGCCTGCTTCCTACAGGAAGCTTCACAATGTACCCCCACCTGTCTCCCATTTTCTCTGCTCTACCCCTGCTTTACTCCAACCTCAGAAGCTGCCTTTTCCAGACACACCC